CAATAAAATGCGTCTGCAGTGGACGTTCTATAGTCCGCTTCCTCGATGAGAACACATCACTTACAGGAATGCATATTGATTGACCACTGGGCAGTGGCGTGAGGCCTGCAGGGCGTGCATGGGTAGACAGCTCTTTGAGTAGGATTTTTCCAGTTTAAACAAGACGATTTCATCAAGAAATCAACCTTAGATGGATGCCTGATGGGTAGATTGCTACCACGATCAGAATCCGACACAATGTTGTGCAAAAAGCACCATTGCTGTTGAGGCGGCAAGAGATTCCTGTAGAAACCACTCCTACTTCTCGAATGGAGTAATGGGAACAGGAGTGGGTAATGCTTCTGCATAAAGGATGATTTGCAATGGGTTGAAGACGTCACCTTCTTTGACGTCAGTTTCCTACGACACCGTTTCCCCGCCCATCTAACCCCGCCGGGATGGCCGGCCAGTGGGCGGGGTGACGCGGGCGCGCCCTGCGCTCTTCGACCGCCGTCGTGCTCGGCTCTCCCGTCGACGGGCCTCGTCAGCCGTCAGCCGGCATTGCTTCGTATTTCGTCGTTAACTCAACAGACATCACTGCAAGGTATCGATCGAATTGCTTCTTTCCTATTTGGGAAAGTGAATTGGCACTGAAGTGTCCCATCATTTGTCAGTTTCACATTATTATTCACAGTTCAAGCAAGAACGGTTCCTTTTCTTCTCATATTTCGTTTTATTTTCATTCATTACCAATGAGAACGTCGAGGGGATGGTTTCCAACATCACTGGAATGATGTGCAATAGTCTTTCAAGCCATTGAGCATTGACGAAGCCAGTAGGCGGAATCCGTTCCTGAGGTTGATAATGGTAATGGCTTGTCCACTCGCTATATCCCTCGTAGGTATTCCATTCAACCTCCGCTCATAGACTTGTTGATTGAGTTATTAGTAGCTGAGCAATTCTTGAGTCGTAAATCACAGTGGAATGGCGTTTGTCCTAGATGGACAATAGGTTCGTCCAATTTGAATACGGTGGTTTCTTTTAGGGACCATAATTCTTCCCTGGATGCATAAACATCTCGTAGTGTCCGTTGAGCAGTAATCTTTGAATCTAATGCATTTATTTTGTTAGCATCTATCTTAATTTCCGATTTCACCACTTAGAACGCCTTAATTCGATTTTTGAGCTCGATTACATCGTCAGTCATGATGAAATATAAGGCTGGGACGTTTCAATAAATAATTCCGAATTGGAATGGGTTAACCCGGATGGTAGACTTATGCCGCAAAGCTCATAAGCTACTTCTGTGCGAACTATCCTACATTGTTATTTTTACTTCAATATTTGTTAGTTATTTTTCTTCTTCTCTATTGTTCGTACCCCATGGTAGCAGAAATTTTTATATTTTTACCTTTTAGTTTTGACATGAGTGCATACCACAGCCCTTGATTGTTTGGTTGATATTATTCTATTTGAAAAGTCATCTGCTTCATCTGAATAGGTTTCGGTTACACGGCATACAAAGGATGGAGAACGTCAGATCCGCGTTATTCTCTAGAAATTTATGCCTCAATGTATTACTTTTACACTTGTAGTTACACTTTCTAAATTACCTGCGTAGTTTTTTTACCTAACAGCTAAGACGTCGGGGAAAAAGAGCAAAGCCTAGGAATAGGTTAGTAACTAAGCGTAGAAGACACGCCCATTTTGGGCGGAGCGTCTTCACAGTTGACGGTACTTCCTACATAAATCCCCAACTCGATTCAGATAGATTATATGTTAGGGATATATGTAGAAAGTGCCGTCTACTGGGAAAACGCTCCGCACACAATAGGAGGGTCTATTCATTTCAGTAGCGACCTATTCCAACAGAGCTTTATCTAGGGAATCTTATCCATCTTTCACTAATTCGAAGATTCGATTTGTTTTGGCTGTTACGTGTACTGGACGTTGTTATGTACTAATATGTTTAACCACTCGTATTTTTAGAATCAGGTTTATTTATAAGCTAATCCTCTCTTAATTCAATATTTGTTCGGGCCTTCATAGCCGTTCTATGAGTGTGGCAAATGCGGCTAGCTTGAGGGCCACAGCTGAGAAGGGTTGATGTCATTAAGTGTACCTACTCTTTATCACTGGTCATTCACCAGTTGCCAAAAGGACTACCAAAGCTTTGGGTTACGCGCTTGCTTTTTTACGTCTCCGCATGATTTTCTCTCATTCTCACTTGCTCAAGTTCATGGAAAGCACTTTTTCAGAAAGTCTCTATAATACAATTCCCGGGGACTTAAGTTTTACTCAAGTTATATACGACTAGTGTTACAATTGACTTACTGCGAAAGCTTCGGTTCTCTTCTCAAAAATGCTTTTTAGCTTTTAATTAATCAATAATCAAGCGATAAACGGTCCTGAGAGGGCTGGAATGGGGACAGTGGTAAGTAAATGATTGCGATGGGATTTCGCATTACTTCGTAACGAACTTGTGTACAGCTTGCCCACTTTGTCAATAGCTCATTAACGGCCTCTGATATCGTCGTTCGGGATTTCCTGCTCGTATCTCGTTTCGTTGTTCGCAGAATCCAAAGTAGACCATCGTTAATGAAGGTTACTCTTACAACTCTGAAGGCCTTAAAAGGGTGGCGAGTTATGGGCAAAACTTTGGACTCGGTCGACACTCGAACCCGTGCTTGTGTCACTTTCGTATAACGTACGGTAGCAATATAGCAGCAGTTAACAAAGCATCAAATCAAAACGAACTCTGAAGGATGTAAGCACTGAAATAGTGATTTTCCCTCTAAATCGATGCCTGCGAGTGTTGCCGAGCGTGTGGGCGGAATGGAAGACATGGAAAAGGAACTATTAGCATACCACTACGCACTAATACGGAGTATGAGTTTATAAATTTTTCTTCTTTTTTTCTTAAACAGTTAATCGTTTTCTTCTCTGAAAGAATACCTATTAGAAGAATTGCAAGGCTCTATCATGTCTAGCTAGTCGACCTCTTCACTCTGTACCAGGCAGCCAGTACTGCTGACCGTTAAACTTTTATCAAAAAGAAGTGCATGTGGAATTTAATCCTTTCGCGTGGTTCATGTCAGGCAGGGAAATCGAGCAAAGCATGTTGTTCCAAAAAATGTCTGCTATTTGATGCTCTTTTTATTTCTTTTCTGAGTTTTGGCTTTCTTCTTGCAACTAATCTTGTGAATACTGACGATAGCATCAAGCATATAGGTTAAAAAGCATTTTTCGGTTCGCTTCGAGGTACGTTCGCGTACCGGCTTTCGTTCAATTGATATTGGGGTCTGAATGATCTCCCAAGTCTACTGCTTGTTGTACCTTTGATGTTCCGAGCGTTTCGACTCTCTTGAGAGAGCTTGTACAACACTGAACTAAGAAATAAAGTCATGGCAATTTCGAGTTACGCCCCTTTTTGAGCCAGTTTCGCTGACAAACGGTTCGATTCACTCGCGTGATGCTTAATACCTGAGCAATAAATTTTCTAGCTGTGCCTTCTCTTATTGTTGTCTTTCATTCCACCCTCCCTCTCCCTCATATTCAGCAAGAGATAGGGTTTGTTATGTCTTCCGCTTAATGGTTTATCCATCTTCTAATCAATTCGTGGAAGGATTTTTGATCCGTATTTGTTTATTTGTGAGTCTACCTCCTGATGAAGAGCACGTGATTCCATAATTGATTCTCCAATTAAAGGCAAACACTATGAGCTATTTTTAGCTGCCATCGTTGTCATCTGATTACGCCCGAACGCAGTGAAATGTTTATTCCTCTTCTTCTTCCTTTCCTTCGCTGATAATTTCCATTATGGGAGGCTATCTTTGTCTCAACCCTGAAGTTAACTAGGACTAAAACTACAGCAGTTCGAGGCCATAATCTCTGATAATTGTACCCAAGGCAGCTCTAGCCAATTTTTCAAAACGAATCCTGATTTTATTTCTACATTATTATCTACACGGTAGTTTCGAGTACATTCGATTATAGCAGAAAAATTTCAATACCATATCGGTATACATGCAAACGAAACTGAGCAGTAATGACAAAATCAATGTATACGCAGACCTCCTAAGAGGATAGCTTCTTTCCAAAATTTTCTAGCACATCCATAATCTTTGCTATATAAATTGAAATGAATTGAGTGAATTTGTCTGATCGCAGAAAAGGCTACAAAAGGAGCCCGTCATGACACTGTTGCACGGGTTCTCTGCGCTGTTATTTTACAACTTTCTATATTTGTTTTAATATTTTTGAATTTTCCTCTGTTTTTATCAGGAATTTTATCGCTCTATAACTTTAGTTCGTTGCATAGGTAACAAATGCTAAAGCAGCATAGCCATTTGCTTTCGTTTCTTTGAAGAGAACCTTTATGACCAATTACATCTTCGATTAGTTTGCTTTCCTGTGCCCCTAAAACTTTACACATGGTTTTCCTTGGTTGTTTATTTTTCAGTTTTAAATAGTCGAAAGCTATTTGAACGAGTTTTGATCGCTGACGTAGTTCACGAAGGAATGACGTCCTAACAAAAGTAGTTTAGTCATACTTTACACAACTTTGTATTGCGCAAGGCTTTTTATGCTGAATGGTGCAAAGCAGCAGAAAGTATGTAAACAGCTTCACATCTTCTTTATAAACACCACTTTGCACGAAAATCTTGAGAATAGCTCTGATCTCACACCCATCTGAGTTGATCTTGGTGATGCCTTCCCTTCGACATTCCTGCAATGTAGTTTAAGAAAATTCTGTCCTAAATGTGCAGTTAAAATCTCATTTCCTGTTTGGGGCGAAAGTGAGTTCGAAAAGGGGAGGATGAAGTGGGGATGGCTGACACTTCGACGTACTCGGCACTTTCTTCTAAATCACATCACTTTGCAATTTTCTGTTGGTTCTTATTCGTTGATTGTTATAACAAATCTTTTCATGGTTCCTTACGCGCTTTCCGTATAGTATTCAACATTCATGCACAGTTGCTGAAAAGGCATTTGGAAAAGTTCAAAATTTTGCAGGCAATATGGTGAATAACTTAGCGAATGGTGTAAATATTTCGACGGTCAAAAGCAAGGATGAGTTACCGAACTCGATTATCGTCACGCAGGTGCCTGAGGAGGTGATTTTTTTCGAGCTCTATTGTATCGTTTCTGCTAGCTCGCAGACATCAGCTTTCAATCTGTGGCTGTGCTGTAAACAACGTTATTCACTTATCCGTGGAAATCTATCAATTAGCAGGAAGAAAAAAGTCAACAATTCAATAATACGCATTCGTTGCGAAAGGGAAATCCAATATTAAATACGTTTTTTTTNTTTTTTTTGAATGTCGCTGCTGCTTTTCATTCATATTTGCAGTTAAGTGGTTTTGAGGTACCTCATGAGACACGTGTTAAAAATTTGTCTTTGAAAGCAACAAGAAGTCAGTGTTCCTGTACGAGATGGTCTTTCTTTTTTCCATAGCTTTATCCAACTAAACCAATCCAGATCGAACCATGTCCAGATCAATAAAATGGTTGCTCCAATTGTTAGAGAAAGCTTAACATATTGCTTTGAGGAATGGGGGTCAGTCTGTGAGTTGGTTCCGGACATTTGGCTATTCAACTCCTACCTAGAGCATACCTAGAGCGAACGTTCTTGAGGTTAAAATGCTTGCTAGATATAGCTTAGCTTATCAAGACTGATGGCGCCAATTTATTTGATTCCTAAACATGATTAGTGCTCGAATTTCAACCAATCAATGTTGGTTTCTTTCGATTTTCAATTTGATACCTCTGTTCAGCAGGACCTTCCTTTTTTGGGATCCCTCCATTTTTCTGTTGATGCCGAAATACGCTTTTTTCTATTGTATTATTCCTAGGAATGTCTTTGTAGTTGCTACAATTCCTTCAGTATAATTTTTAGCTGCTGTTTCTAGGTATTCACCAGTCCTGAATCAAAAGAGAATTTCTGTCAATTGTTCACGCAGATCGAAGAGAACATTCATTTTGATTTCTTGAAAAGTTTTCGACGTGTTCGAGTTATTTTTAGGTGAGTGCATTACGTCACATGTCTCAAAGTGATTGCTCTGGTTGCTCCATTCATCACCTTTTTTAGTACGCCTGAAAGTGCAACAGCGGCAAAACTCATTGTACAAGGGTTCTCGTTTCATGGACATGAGATGAAAGCCTTCCTTGCGCAGGTAATTTGAGTAATTTTTCCGAATATCTTCTTTTATGGTAAAAAGTCATATGAACTACTTTATTATTTACTTGCTATTGAATATCAATTACAGCTCTCTTATTACCTTACCGTTAGGAACCTCATAAACCAGCATGAGAATATCATTCGGAATCTCTCGTAGCTGATTAATTTGCGTATGCTATGTTAAAGACATCAGAACTGCGTGCTTCATTAATTTGATTTTTTCTGAGGAAACTTCTGAGAAGTTCCCAGCGTAGTTCGCGTGCTTTTCTACCGCGATAGTGGTGTTATGTTGGGTTTTACTAATCGAATTGTTTACAGCGAGTTATTCTTCGACGTTCTTCATCATTGCTATCTCCACCTCCGCTTGAAAAACAATTTCTCATATCTCCTCCGTGTTCTCCGCCTCTTGGCTGGTCACAAACGAAGGCCCGTTTTCAAATTCTTCTGTAGGACATATTTGTAGTTCTCACGGTAACATTCATGTTCGATTTACAGGAAATGGCCCCAGTTATTTGTAATTTCGATCTGATGGCACGGCTGGCATCATTTGCTCTTGAAGACAAGTGAGTGCAAATTTCGCTCCGATATCTTGTTGAAATGCTCTCTCGGTGATCATTTTTGTTAGTATGAGCGTAGTCTTGAATATTCAGTAGGTTCTAAATTGGTTCTTGTGTCGTTGCGTGAGTGGTAATTCGATTTCTTCACGTATTCAGTCTCAACAATGAGCTTAGATGGGGTCAGGCCCGTTTTTTCACCGCTTCTTTTATAAAGGGTTGTGGTATTATGGTTTCATGGGCCTACTTCATTAGCACTAGTCCCTCTTATTCAGATTTGTTTGAAGGGTCAGTGGAGGTGAAGTTGAAGTTGGTGAGTCGGTCAGTCCGGAAAATTATTGGTTGTGGTTGTTTCGGTCTAAGATCCCGATCCAAACTTTCCTTTGAAATGAGTTCCCAGTTTGAGGGCCAGCCGGAACCTATTTAATATAATCCAGAACAAAACTACTGGCTTATGAGTCACGGAGTCGTTTGGGAGACAGAATATGCATATCACTGTTGTTTATTCAGATACGAAGTTCACAACGGTGACGAGAGTACGCCAGCAATTGTTGTGCATCCTTGTGAAACTCCTCTAGACGCGCCGTCCAGCATAGAAATGCCTCGTACACCAAGGCCGTCATCTCCTCCAACTCCTCCGTGATCCAGCCAAGAAAATTAATCAGATTTATCATAACTTGATAACATTTCAGTTCCTCATAGTTATATGCGCATGCCATTGAGGAAGACTTGTTCGTTATTTTCACTGGTCGCTGGCCCTAGTCATCGTACGTCTTTGTTATAATGAGAAAATGAGCTAGTCGCAACTACTCATATGACTCTATTGCACTTACTATTTAGTACTATCACTGACAATTAGAATGTGATGTAGAAAGTATTTGAGACTACTATTTAGACTTAAATATTAAGTATTCCAACGCTCCTTCTACCTCCTTGTTTTATTAGATTGATCAAGGGTCAATGATGCACATCCGCCTCCTTTGTGCACATATGCTGATGTTAGACTGAGCAATCTTCCTCAGCTTCTTCTCTACTTCTATTCCCCTTCCTTATTAAGTGGTATGAAAACTATATCCTTATTTGTAAGCGTCTGTTACTGTTTTTATTTGGCGCTTATTCGCCCTTTCATATTTCGGTGGGATTGAACCGCCTCACTTACGTTAGCGGGCAAACATACGAACTCTCATCATCTTTTATTTATCTTGATGACCGAATAAGCTTTATTGTCACACACTCAACGAATAGCAAATGAAATAAAAATGTTCTACTACGTTCTTCTACAAAATGGGCTGTAAAATGAGTTTCTATGAGAACCCTGGTTATAGTATCACAATATGATGAATGATATCTTTCTTTTACCCGCTCCCTATTAGTTAAAACAGACCCTACATTAAATATGAACGTTACATTAAGGCCTAGAAAACAGAGTATGTTGCTGTGAATGAAAACATCACCTTTTGAGAAAGCTTTGTGTATGTATAGCAACACCGTACTAGTTGGAATTGTCAGACCATGAACGGGCCATCCTTTGCGAAAACCGTCACCCTTGATGAAGGCATGAATCGTACAACAAATCGCTTCACTTCAGCGTCCCACTTCTGCTTGTTTTTACTGGAATGACAATAATTACTGCGTGTAATGCGTCAATAACAATTAGAGGTATTTCCTCCCGCCAATGGGGCCGCGAATTTTCGTAACGTTCATAATGTATTATATTATACCACTTCAACTATAAAAAACCCTAACTGTTTTACACTTTATGGAAGTCCCTTTGCTTAGTCACGCTTCCTACGTCAAACTCATAAAAAGTAAGACGCCTAAGCAGGCACATCCTTTCCTCAGAGAAACTTTGAGATCGAGAAAATTCGAGTGAAAAAGATTAAATAACGACATACAATAAAGATCTCACCTGTACAGGTTCAGATAAATAGCAAAAAGTATGACTAAGCCGGCCCAGACATAGTCCACCGTAAAAGGTTTTGAAAACAGAACAAATGAAAGTATGATTGTGAGAGCCTTACGAAGGGTCGTAACCGTAACCGCCACAAGTGCTCCACAGACCTAGATTGAATTCTCATAGGAAACTGTACATATGGTTTGTCTTGAAAAGCTCGTACCTTTATAAGAGTTAACACAACATTCACTCCGAGATATCCGAAAAGGGCAAAGATAATGGAGTATCCGTAAGTTTTCCCTGGATTCTATAAGCACCGAAATAAATGAAGTCTTAGTGTATGTGATGAAGGCATGCACTGAAGAAAACTTTACTTCAAGAAAAAACTGAAAGGCGCTGAAGAATTCTCCTGAGATGATCGTATACAGGAGTAAGTACACCGATCCTATAGAGTAGGAGTACAGTACCTAAACTAGGAACTGTTTCGGAAACGTTGCGATATGAAAAAAAGGAGCCTCACCATCTCATTGCTGGAACCACCGTACTTCTTCATATTTTTCTCTTGAATATTCCCTATTACGGCGTCTGCCAGCAGAGCGCCGGAGATCATAATATATCCTCTGGGATCAAAGTTCGGAGACACACTGTTGTCCGCCAAGGTAAACATAATGAGTCCTGAATTTTCTTCCGTCATTTTTGAAAAATTTGGATAGATATAACTTGAAGTTAGGTAAAAGATAAAATTCAGGCTCACCTATGCTCATAAGCACAGCTGCAATTAAATCTATACATCCATACCGCTTTCCTTGTATAATAATCCCGCCGATTAGAACCGGCACAAGCTTACAACATTTGAAAATTACCTGAAAACTAACTTTGGTCATCTCACTTCAAGTGATTTCCCATCCGGATATTCGGGCGGATTGACGTTTTTTGCACTACAATTCAATTCTATGGATACTAAGCACAAAATGAGACTTCACTCATACAAATTTTATCTCAAAGTTCAAACTATACCCACGTAAAATGACTCTGAGAATGAGAACTGAAATCACTTTCGGAAGAAAAGGTGACGGCAACCCTATACACTTTCTCAAACAATGTAAAAGTTTTTCGGTACCATTTTACCGAAGACATAAAAGAGAGGGCACTTATCGCGCGAAATCCTGAATGAGCGTCAGTTATCTGTTTGCAATAGAGCACATACCTGTGTGGGATAGTTAAGGTATCCGACAGATGCATTCGAAAGGCCCATTGTTGCAACAGTGAAGAATGCAAGCAGAAGGTAAATCTCCAGTGGGACTCTAAAACATTTTAGTAGTACCTCACAGATCAACAACGTAAAGTAAATAAGTAAGTAAGTAAGGTAAGTAATAGAATGGATGATAATGACTGAAAATTCTCTAACTTCCGCTTCGTATCGTGATACAGCGATCCTTCTGCCCAACCACAAAAGCTATATATTACAAATTGAAATAGTGTTAAATACATGCCATAAGGTTTCATCCCAGGTAACTGGAAGATTAGCTCCTGTAATAGTCAATAAATACAGGTTTACCAAGCAGTCGTTACCTGTTACACCGAAATTACGTCGAGATCATAACTACAAACTTTGCCAATGTCTCCGCTTTTACTTTAGAATAAGATTGAGTATGCATGCCTTGCAAAAAAAAACCAATTAGCTTATTTGTTGCTTTTCTATGGAATACTAACTGTACTCGAGTGCTACGATGTAAGGTATTACAAATATAAGTCGCGATTAAGTAGCATCGCGACTGTATCTGCTTTAGTTTGCCTTAACCTCTGCCCATTGCTTAGTTTAACAGTGAATATGAGATGTAACTGTGACTGGTAGTACGAGAAAAAAGATAGAAAGTAAAGTACTAACCTGCATGTAACCGTATCCCACATAAAATACAAAAACAGCTAGCGAAAGTAGTGTAAATTGTACCCATAACGGCCTGGAAATATCGGATTTAATGAGAAGCGAAATTCGACCTTGGTGGATATTGGATTGACCCTATTCAACGCAAAGAACTATTGTACTAAGGATTGCTGAAAGAAATGTCTATACAAAGTCTAAAGTCTAAGAATAAAGTATTGGGGAAATAATCAATCCCGTCTGACCACGCATTCGACTACCATTCAGGTGTAGAAAATACAATGACTTGCGGTGGCCAGGCGACGTACAAGTCAGTGCCTTTATTCTCCCAGACGAGCCTGTTACCGATTAACCGACCCCGGAGGGAGAACCTGGAAGGGTGGGAGGCTTGGTTCTTTTGGGTGGACATCGATCCGTGATTCGAACCCGTGACCATGCGTGTGTGAAGTGCACAACTTGCCCTACACCACCTCCGTCAAGCTATACAAAAAGCACTAAAAACTCACTTCCTGAGTTCTATAATTGAACTCTTTTCAACTAAAATCTAGTTAGAAGTAACGTTATAAACGCTGGGCAGCAAAAATGTATCCTTCAATAAAATACTCAGATCGACGGACAAATCTTTGGTTAGCCTAAGAAAAGAAAAGAANCGTTTTAGCAAGAAAAGGGTAGAGGAAAAGGAAGCGGTAATAATCAAAAACCGACCTGTGCGTGATGTTTACACCAAGGAGATGCAGTTCTTCCCCGGATTTTCTATTGTGTGTAGGGAGCATGGCCCTAAAAAACGAGCGTATGATAAACATGGACGAGATGGAACAGTCGGAACACTTAAGTAGTAATTTCTGCCTTCTAGCGTATCCAAACCTAGTCTTGTCGATTCAGTCTGGTATGTTTTTTGAAATATTCAATCGAGCTGACATGAATGCGACAAGATTCCTCGTTCAAGTTCTAATCAAACCCCCAAAATCAACGGATACCAATGTTGGTCAACAACAACCCCCAAACTAACACTCAACCAGCGCTGTTCGATTCGATGGGAAAGTCAAACTGATCAATCTGCTTTGGTCCTGATTGTGCGAATAACAGGAGCAGGCAGATTCCAGAGAAAGAGCTCACGAAAGTCTATAGTGTCAATTGCCATTACATAACTGTCATAAAAATTCAGTCTTCAAAAGATCAGTGCAAAAGTAAACCAACTCTATTCTATGAGTTCTCGGTAGAAAATTGAAAAGCGGCATTTGACCTGACTGTTGTGACATTGATATTCGACACACGGGTAAGCTAAGAAACTGCTGAAATGGTACAAAGTCGTATGATCGAAACAGCGTTAATACCAATGGAATACGCTGACACCGACGATACTCCTCAAAAAAAANAAAAAAAATCACTGACATCTCCAAGTCACCTTATATCGAGGAATTTTAGTACAATTGAAATGAGCATGATAATCTCCTCTCTTCCGAAAAAAGCAAAATATTCAACTCCAATAACCCGCAAAGTCGAGGAGAGAAAAAGTTCAAATGTTCACCAAATACTTTCGACAATGAAGGGATCTCAGAAAATGTTCCCTTGAGGCAAAACGATTAAATGGCAGGAATAAGAATTGGCGATTAGGCAGTGCAAAGCCGGTTTTTGGCACAACCGCAATCGATTCAATCGGGACATTACTCTTTCATATTTTTTTATAGGTTGCCCTTTTATGCATGCAGTTGCCACGATTAAATATGCATACCATTGCGTTCCTTTATCCGGAGCCAAGTTTCCCATGGCTAATGATCATGTCAACTGCATTTTCCTAACTACTGATTTACTGATGACCACACACTGTGCACCTTTAGATTCCCTGTATAATCAATATCGTTTCACAAAAGGAAAGCGTAGTTCATATGAACACTGTTTGTGGAACTTTATTCAGTGAAAAACCAATAAAACTTGATGAAAAACCAATGAAGAATAGCTTACAACGCCTGCTCATATTACTATGACAACGCCTTCTAGAAGAAAGGACCACCCACTATGGACCTTTAGATTCCCTGGGTGAAAATGTAGTTGGGGGAGGGCCACCCATCCGATGGTCAGTATATCAAGAAATGAACTCAGTCTAACGTGTTAGTCCTTGTTATA